GGGGAATAAGCTGGAACACTTACTTTATTCTTCACTTCAGTAGACTCCAGCGCTCTTCTCTTCTCTCTTACGCTGTGGGTTGTGGACAGGCCCTTGCCGTGATGAGCCTGGGCTTGGTTCGCCCAAACCTAGTAAAACCTGTGATTGTCACCCCTTGTCCCAGCTCAATCAGTTACAGAGAGGCGCATTCCACGCCCAGCAGCTGTATATCACAACGATGTGGTGAATGCCCATGCTGCAACTGCCACCGCTGTTTGGGCCAGAAGGGGGGAGTGGTGGTCACTATTTTGAGTTGGCTTAGGTGAACCGAGCCCAGGCTAATCTCTACTCACATACAATGCAGGACTTCTGGTCCTGTACTGAATGTGATGATGTCAGAGTGCGACTTCTGGCCGGAGCACCTTAGAGAAGAGGGGACCGGTCATCGCACAAGATTGTGGAATCCTGCTGGAGTGAGGAAGATGGTAAGTATTACAGCTTATTCCTCTACCCTTATACTTAACGAGCATTTAACCCTTGCAATGTGAGGGTTTTTTTTTTAAATCCAGGAGTTAAGCTTTATTCAGATCTCATATATATAAGTGCCCACTCATCAACATGCTAATTACATTTTTTAAATAAAAACTTTCCATTTTCATTACATACCTCGTTCTAGACCAATGACCAATGACATAATCACTAGGTCTCTATGCTTCTCTATCCAATGCAGGCACATCATGGAGGAGTAAGCATTCCTAGGCAAGATTAATTTGTATGCAGACTGACCTGGGTAACACTCAGGTAAAGCCCAAGTGTGAGGTTGAGCCTCAATGACTATAATAACTGAAACCCAGTAAATAAAAGCGGCTGGCTAGGGACAGAATTATAGGGGTAAAAGAGATAGATGATTCAGGATGTCCTCCAGCCAGGATGTGAAGCTCTTTCTGACTTGCTGCAGCTTCTAATGCACACTGTGAGTAGCTCTCATTGCACAGTGAAATTAGTAAGGGTGAGGAGCCTTTGCAACTGTACAAAACTGTGTAAGCCCTCATTCACATGAGGAACGGCCGGCCCGTACAGATCCGTGCTGTGGTGCACGGCCTTCCGCTCCCCGGAAGGACAGGTGTTGCGTGTGATTACACGCAGCAGCCTGTTCTTCGCTATGGGAGTAAGCGGGCGTATGCCGCCCTACGCTTACCCAACCTGCACGTCCATGTGGAAGTCCATACTCGTACGCTGACAGGATGGATCCTGTCTGCGTCCGAGCAGGGACACGTGCACCGGACGTGCAGTTTGGGTGAGCGTACAGCTGCGTATGGCCGCGTACTCCCATAGAGAAGAACGGGCTGCTGCGTGCAAATTACATGCAGCACCTGTCCTTCCCAGGAGCGGCCAGATACAGCCGTGCACGCAGCACGGATCTGTACAGGCCGGCTGTTACTGGTGTGAATGAGGGCTTAGAGTGGAGCCCAGCTTAAAAAATTCTGTGTCCAGGCCTCCTGTGTTTAGCAAACACAAGACAACTAATTCTTCAGTTTAAAGGAATGGTTGCTACCAGCACATATTGCAGCCTAGGTTCTTATGGCAAAGCATGCACCAGAAAAACTAGGAGTCAGGAAAATGAAAGTGAACTGAGGTCAAGAAGCACTTGGTGGTCCACGTATAATAAATTAGCTCATAGCACGCTATACACGCTTAGAAGCATCCTATTTCTTTATATTTTGTTTGTAATATTAATTTTGACCAATGGGAAATAATTACATTTTTCTTGCAGCCATGTTGAACTGTAGATACATGGAATTTCTCAGTCAACTGCAGACAGTTTTCTCACAATGTACACACAATCGACACTTCCCCAACCCATTCAAATGGAGGAGGATAGGTAAACAATACTGTTTTACTTGTGCTTGTGTATACTGGAATTTTTTCTCTGAAAACCTGTGGCTGAAGCAGCTCAGAGGTAAGTTAGAAGCAGCTCTAATGCAGGCTAAGTACAGCTAAAAGCTTGCTGCATTTGCTGGTCTACACAAGTGTTTGCAAAGCTAATGCCTCCACTGCTCCGCATCAAAAGATTAAAAAAGTTAGCTAATTACTCTAAAGCGAACCAGTGATATCTCCATTCAGGGCAAACCCACGGGTTCACTTTAATGAAGCTCCCGCCAGCAGTATATGCACACCTTCCCTTCTCCTTCATTTCCCCTCCTGCTCCGTTCTGCCACCAGGGAATATTCAGCTACAACTCCGAGCTTACACAAGGCTAAGTATCTCTCACTCCCACTGTCCAAATAGAGCAAATGTGAGGATGTGCAGCTTGGAAAGGCGCATTAAAGTGAATCTGTTGGGTTGTCCTGTATGGGCAAAGCTCAGGTTCCCATTAACGAAGCCTACTAAATCCATGAATCAGGGTTATATGAGTGGCATGATGTGCTTTACACTTCACTCCATGTAGTTGAACCAGCAATCTGGAATGCTGCAGTGCTGAGCCACTCCTACCACTTGTTTTTTATTCTGCAGATGGCCCATTACTGTACAAATCCCTATAGACTTCTACAGGGCTGCATACTACTTCCGAATGGGTGTAGTACCTGAGCTCGATCCAGTGATGGCAGTTCTGCTTTCAGAAAAAGGTGTATTTTTAATTTTAAAAACGTATATTCACCCCCTATTGCCAACCTCATCAATGCCATTATAAGTGAGTACTTGATTTCAATTTTTCCGCTAGCAAGGTTTGGGTTAGCAACAACTACCATGTTGGTGGTAGGTCTTACAGATCTATGACTGGTACCCATTATGCTTGTACAAGGCTGGATCTAGCAAACCTTGTTTGCACTTTGACGTTTAGTCTCACCCCTGTTACATTCTCCATAGTAATTTTAAAAAGTGTAAACTATCATGGGGAAGATCCTCCGAACCCTCTTGTCTTGAATTGTGTTGTAACTGTCCTTTCTCCCTTGAAAAGTTCTGTGTAAACCGTTGGCACTATAAAACCTTGTATAATAATTTAGAGATAATATTTAAAAAAAAAACATGTAGAGGTGTGTAAAAGTAGGATGTTAAGTGCTAAGATCTTATTCATTTAAAATTGGCATTTATATAGTTTCAATAATTTATGCAGTGCTTTACATACTGGCCATTGACATCAGTCCCTACCTTCAAGGAGCTCACCATCTAAGGTCCCTATCTCATATTCTGGGGCCAATTTATACAGGAGCTAATTAATGTCTTTGGAGTGTAGAAGGAAATCCACACAGAGAACTCCATGCAGATAGTCCCCTGGCCAGGATTAGACCGAGGACCCCAGTACTGCAAGGCAGATGGGCTGACCAAAAAGCCAGTGTGTCACCCTTACCGAAAACCCTGAGACAAATTGGGGCTGGTGCAATTATTTAATTTAAAAAAAAAAAGAAGAAAAAAGAACCAGTTTTGAGGAGACTGACCCAAATTCCTCCCAAAACCCATATTTTAGGTAATTAACAAGCATCATTCAGGGGCTTCTAGTATCAAACAGAGACTTCAGCTGCAAGATATCTCCAACCTGCCCAACATGTACAGCCGTGACAAATCCAAATGTTGGTGTCACACTCCCCAGGATGGATTTACTGTAATGAAGAATAAGCAAATAATTAGAGAGCTTCGCTGCAGAAGGGTGACACTTTCCTTATGGCCTTGTGGGAGGGGCAGGAGAAGCAAACTAAGATGGAGAAACCTTGCAACCAGAGCCTGGGAGAGATGTTAAGAATTTGTTGGGTGCTTCCATTCACTGGTGCCGACTTGGATTTGAAACTTTGTAGTTCTCACATGGCAGGGCAGAAGCACAGTGCTACATTGTTATCAATTACTGCTGTTAAAGTAACTTTCTTTGGGTCACTTAACCTGGAGCGAGATTCACATTGCAGCAAATCCAGTGGCTTTTGCTGACACTTTTCTTAGCCTGTGATTGCAAAGTTACCATGAATTTAGCAATAGAAATAATGAAGCATTATACCAAAAATTATCCTGCAAGGCGACATTGATGACTGAATGATTGAATTAAGATTAAAAGTGGAGAGTGTAGACTTAGAATATTGACTGCAGATAAAGACCCAACAATCTATCCAGTCTGCGTATTTATTATACTTACTATTACTTTTTGTGGATAGTAAATCTAAATCATGCAAGGGATTTAGATTTGCTTGCAGTTGATTTTTATACTTTATCCTTTCCAAGTATCTACTACACCAGGAGTGGACAACTCTGACCCTCCAGATGTTGTGGGACTACAAGTCTCATAAGGCATTGCAAGACTGACAGTTACAGGCATGACTCCAAGAGGCAGAAACATGTCGGGATTTGTAGTTAAAGCACAGCTGGAGGGTCAGAGTTGCCCATCTCGGTACTACACCATGGGTAGGCAACCTCAGCAATCCAGTTGTGGTGAAACTACAATTTCCAGCACCTTTCTGCCTCTGAGAGTCACGATTGTGGCTTTCAGAGTCTTGCAAAACCCCATGGGACTTGTAGTTCCACATAAGCTGTAGTTTCAAGGTTGAATGCACTACACCTTCTGTGAAATAATACCATCACTGTTTCACCCAGCGCTTCCTTCTCCGAGACGTCATTTTGCATAGTTCCTAGATATCCCCATTTCCTAGTTCAACCATGATTCCTAGAGGTTTGTCCCTAGAAATGTTTCCTGTTGGTTATGCCCCCTCTTGATTTTGTTTAATGCCCCACTCCAGTTCAACTTCCTCACAATCTTACCTTTCTGAGTAGTCTTCTTTTAAAGAAGTGTATTTAAAATGCAAAAAAAAGGATAATTCAACTTAAAATGCAAAGAAGTGATCACTGCGCATCTCAGTGCTCAGACAGTATGATAAAAAACAACGCTCAAGTACGAAAGCTTCAACAGCAGTGTCCCTGGAAATGATGCCAAAGTGTTACTATACAACTACAAACTTCCATGTGAATGTGAGTTGAAGGTGTTTTACTGCAGGATGACAAGGATGCAGATGGAGAGTAAACTAGTAAAAATCAGGTCTTACCCAGCTTGCCATCAATGACAGTGAGGGCGATCTGATCCATTAACACCAGTCTGAAGTCCACCTCTTGGTCTCGACATCGCTGCCTCAGTGCCTCCAGGATGCGCATCTGTGGGTAATCCTCCAGGATATTTTTGTCTGTCAGTAGCCAGAGCTGGGAACACATGGTGGAAACAGTCCTGCCTGAGCAGGCTAGTGCAAAAAAATGAGAAAAAAAAGGACAAAAGCAAGACTGTGCACCAAAATACAGCAAGGTCAGCCTCAGAAGGCCTGAGTGCAGCAGGCAGCTAACTGCTTGCACTGTAATAAAAAATCAGCTGCATTAAACCAGTATCCAGCAGCCATGCGCCATCAGAAGGGGACTGTAATCATCTACTCCCCTACATAATACAGCATTCAGTGGGCAAGCCCCTTGATGCAATCAATATGGGCGGACCCTGCAAAAATCCATATTCAGATCCCATTTATTTCAGCCCTTTTCTCCCCCCACCCCAGTCCCCCACCCCCCACCTCAGTTATTTGCACTTCACGGATCACCGTCCCCACAACAAACAGCACTTGAATCATGAGGCTCCGGATCCAGTTACCTGCAGCCTGCCCAGGGAAAGCCAGCGCTGCATACAAGGAAAAAAGGTTATTCCTAATGATGAACGGGGCTGCGCCGGCCAATCAGCGGCTCGGGAAAGCGGCGGCCAATGAGGTGGCATCCCGTCAGTCTTGAGACTGTGCGGGTGGCCAATGGGAGCGCTCGGATGCGAGTGAGGCGGTGGATGGAGATGCTCGCTGGGTACCAGAGCTGATTCCCGAGCAGTTCTGCAAAGGCTTGCTGCGGGGATATGGTGAGCTGTGCAATGAGATGGGCACGATGGGAATAATAAATGAGATTGTGATTCTATTTATTAACTCCAGTGGTGGTAGATCTAAGATCTTCAACCATCTGTCTTTTAGTTCCAGGATTGAATCAATATGATGTCTAGTCTGGTCACAGATCAGTACTCAGGCGGAAGGTGAAGACATGTGGCCGGGGACTGAGGTTGAGAAGAGGGAAAGCCTAAGCATCATAAAGGGAGAAAAGGGTATTGCCAAGAGAGTGCCCTGGGGGTTGTGGCCAAGTGATGCTCTTTGGGGTGAAGCTGCATATGGAAGGTTGATTGAGTTCTCAGCTAAGCTATTAGAAATACAGAGTAGAAGGAATGGCATTAAATTTAGATGCCAGCAAACAACCCAGGGCAGCAACCAATCAAAAACATAATAAAAAGAAAAAATCTGGGAATATTCTGATGTCAGTTGTGCAAGCAACATAACCAGTGATGAGTTGTAGCACAGAGGTGCACAGGTGATTCTATTACTTCCAGTGCAGGGACAAGGTCCTCTGGCACCCACGGTGAGGATTCTAAATGCATGCGCCCATCCCATGAGCTCTTTAATTTGGCATTAAAAATAAACTAATCTGCAAAAAAGGAAGGGGAATGAAGGGGTTAATAAAATAAGTAGGGTTAACAACATTTTTAGCTGCAAAATTTAGTGTTTAAAAAATAAAATTATTTATTCTGCGGTTTGTCCCTTTTATAAAGGCACAAGAAACATGTTTCTGGTACACAGCATTTGGCGATACAAATACGAATGAATGCAAATTTTAAAGAAGTGAACATATAAAAACATCAAGAAGAATAAGCTAAGAAAGGAAAGGGAATGTAGGAGGTGATAAAAATGAATGTGTTCTCTAAAGGCCCTTTCCCACCTAATGCGTTGGGGCTGCGTTTTTTTCCAGCGCAGCCGCAATGCAAGAGAAGGCAATTTGCCTTGTTCCAGATGGGATCAGTTCACACCACCATATTGCAATGCTGTGCGCTGAAAAAAGAGTACAGCATGCAACACTTTTTTTCAGCGCAGTGTGACGCAGTACAACCGCACAGCACTGTGCCCATAGAACTTAATGAAATGTCACTTGTGATAAAAATAGGGAAACAGTGCAATGCATCACGATCAGCCCATCAGCACTGTGCCTGGCACATACACACGCCAGCAACCATGCAGTGTAGCGCAGCTGCTGGAGTGATTGGGCCCTAAGGGTTATTTACATTTTTTTTTACATTTTATTATTTGCTTACAACAGTCATTTATGATGAAAGTTACAGCAGTGTCTTTCATTCATACATAAATGCAAAGCAGGATCAGAGCTGTCAAACTGATAGCTCAGTCCAGCAGATTACATGGAGAGAATGGAAAGCATCTCTCCCTGTGTAATCATCAGTGCTCTGTAACAGCTGGGCGCTGTGCTTTGTTTATCAGGAGCACACAGAGCGCCCAATACAGAAACGGTGACTGTCACACTGACAATGGGGTGGAGTGGCCCTGGTTTCACATGGAGAGCCTCGATCTCCTATTGTAATCTGCAGGACTGAGGTGTCAGTCACAGTCTTAGTAGAAAATCCTTTTGTAACTAGAAACCTCAGGGCCCCGGTGCAAGAAACCATTAAGGGCCCCCCCCCTCCAAAAAAAAACATGATTTTGATACCTTTTTTTATATTAAAAAAAACAGTATGTATGGTATGACTTTCAGGGCTAGTTTACACCAGCCCCAGTGCGTTCCAGCCCGATTAGGTGCCAGAACACACTGGATCACATGCTGGCCGGCTCACTGCGTTCTGGGTGGGAGGGGGCATGGTGGTGCATTAAAGTCAATGGCACCGCAGGCACGCCCCTCCTGGCTGCAGTGCGATTGCCTGCACCGGAATGCGTGGTAAATCAATGCCTGTGTTCCGGTCCAGTGTAATCAGAAAAAATAGTGCAGGCAGCATTTTTTCTGACCACACTAGACTGGAAAGCAGGCATTGATTTGCCACGTGTTCCGGTGCAGTGGGGGGGGGGGGGGGGGGGGGGGGGACGTGCCTGCAGTGCCATTGTTTTCAATGCACCGCCCCCTCCCGCCCCAGAATGCAGTGAGCCAGCCGGGATGCGATCCAGTGTGTTCCGGCATCAGAACGGAATGCACTGGGGCCCGTGTGACCTAGCCCTCAGTGATTCCTTCCAGTCACAACACAAATTTACGGCTTCTAGATCTGCTCTGTCCCTTGCGATCTTGTACTGGGTGGGAAGTTTAGGGAACCCAAGCTGAGAGAGTTGGAGCTATTCAGAAGCACAATGACTGTAAGTGCTTGGGCAAAAATGTAAAGCAAAACTTTGCTGAGCAATGTATATATGTTTGATGTGAATTCATTATAGTATAAAAAAGATTGAGTGTTTAATGTTGCTTTAAGGACATTGTTCTGGTTGTGTTCTAAATCACTAAAAGTCCAGAAAAAAACACAAATTTATGGCTTTTTACAGCAGAATAAGTTCCATAAAGTAACTGATTTTTAAATGGTGTGCTGCAGAATCTGACACAGAACTGAACAATAGACATGTGCGATTGGTTTCATTCCGAATTGGAATTTGTACGAATTTCTGTAAATTCGGACATTTGGACGAATTCAACTGAAACCTAATGTTTGATAACGAAATTCGGATACATACGGATTTCATTCGGAACGAAACACGACAAGCGGGAGAGCTGTCATCTACCGCTCTCTGTCTTCTCTGCACTTGTAGCCCAAATGAAATCAAAGTAACAGAATATTTTTACAAAATGTAAATAAAGAAAGAAGCTGAGAAATCTGTGTTATTCTGTAACAGCTTCTGCTTCTTTGATGACACTTCCATCCCCAATGTAAAGAATCTGACAGCTGTCACAGAATACACAAAAGTGTTAAACAGTTCACAGAAATAATAATTTTAAAAAACTGTGCGGGGTCCCCCCCCCCCCAATACCAGACCCTTTAGATCTGGTAGGACCCGATGTAGAAAAAAACAAAAACCAGCATGCGGGCAGGGGGGCTCATCTGCATATGAATGTTAAAGAGGAAATGAACTGTGGAAGCAGAGCAAAGAAAAGGCAAGCAGAGGGCCAAGGACTAGTCACCATTCAGCTGTTGTCCCTTCGGCTGATCTTTCCCCATTACTGACTTACCATCCTTTGTTTTGCACTTTGCATCTACAGTATATGGAGGAGACAATCTTGGTAGAATTTTGCTTCCTTTGGGTCTGGTAGGAATTTTAAGGGGAACTGTAACGCCAAAAAAGATGAGAAAAAAAATATGATGCCCCTCCTAAAATCCCTTACCAGACCCTTAATCCAGGCAGCAACCTGGCAGGGCAGGAAAGAGGGGGGGATGACGACGAGTGAGCACCCCCCCACCACTATACCAGGCCACATGCCCTCAGCATTGGGAGGGTGCATGTGCTTGTGCTTGTCCCCATCGGCATTGTCCTCATGCCGATGGGGACAAGAACCTCTTCCCCACAACCCTGGCCCAGGTGGTTGTGGGGGTCTGCAGGCAGGGGGGCTCATCTGTATCTGGGTACCCCCTTTCAAAAAGGGGGCACCCAGATGCCACCCCCCCTGTTGAGTGAGTATGGGGTACCATACTTGTACCCCTACTCATTCACTAAAGGATTAAATAAAATGTATATAAACACACAACACCTTAGAAAAATATTCTTTTAATTGCACAAAAAACACAAACACAAGTTTTTGACAATTCTTTTATTTAAAGGAGAACTATGGGGTCAGGGCTTTTCCCCATAGTTCTCCTTAGGGCAATGGGAGGACACAAACTAGCGTCCTCCCGTCACCCTAGGCTCAGTATACGGCGAGCTACAGTCATCCGAAATTAACGAAATTTCGGTTTAATCCGAATGCCGAAACGAATTGACTTTCAGACCCGAATCCCGAAAAACAAAACATTTTAAACTAAATGAAACTAAACGAATTTAGTGCCGGCTTACATGTCTACTGAACAGGGTTAAAACAAAAAAAATAACATGACTACATTTTAAAAATAATCACACAAAACAATGTACTCAAAGAATATACATCGCTAGTCATACAACAGACTCAAATAGTAAAACTTACCCAGATATGCAAAATTAAAAATCTCATTGAAGTAGAACTGAAGCCCCATTGGGTTCCAATGGGTCCCATTCGTCCCGTTGTGTCCCATTGGAGAGATTTCCTTCACTTCCTGTATGATAGCCACAATAGAAAGTGGGAGGAAATCCCTCCAACCAAAACTAGTGTCCCTATTGGAAGATTTCCTCTTTATTTCTGTTCTGATAACAACCCAAAATTTGGAATTTTCTTTTACTTTCAGTGATAACAGTCACCAGGACACAGAGAGGGTAAATCTCCCTAACATGGACACAGACAGCAATAAAAACCTGACAGGTGTTCTAATCCCTCTCCACTTTATCCAGAACAAAGTATTATAAAACTTACAGGAAATGACACAACAGTTCATAAACCTGTTTTATTGTTCAGCTGACAACAGACATGCCTTTGGAAACACATGCTTTAACCACTTCAAGACCAGGTGTTTAGACCCCCTTCCTGGCCAGGCCATTTTTCAGTCTTCAGCGCTGCGGTACTTTGACTGACGTTTATTCCATCACGCAACGCTGTACTGAAATGACTTTTATACCATTTTTTGGGGACACATAGAGCTTTCTTTTGGTGGTATTTAATCACCACTATGGGTTTTATTTTTTACTATAATTAGGAAAAATTACTGAAAATTTTGAAAAAAAAAAGTTTTTTTTAACATTATGTTAGGAAACATTTATTATTACCCAGTTTTTTTGGTAAAATATAAAGGACGGGGTCACGTCGGGTAAATAGACACCAAACATGTCAAGCTTTAAAATTGCGCGCACCCGCAACATTGCAGAAAACTACCATACCCAAAATTGGCCATAGGCGACGCTTTAAAAGCTTTTACCGCTCATCAGTTTAGTGTTATCAGTGATTGATGGCCCTAGACTTATTGCTCTCACTCCAACATTTGCGGCGATATGTAACATGTGCGGCGTAATGGGCGCAATCGTCTTTTTTGCACGTATGCGCCCCGACGCATGTTTGCATGCGTGTATGTATGGGCGGGGAATTTAAAAAAAAAATTTAATTCTTTTTCATATGTAACTTCAAATTTTTTTGGGGGGGACTTTATTTTTGTTTTCTTTCAGAGGAGAGGGGACCGGAGGGAGATCGTGTAACGGGCTCCCTCTGATCCCCTGTTACACAGGCATGGCGCTGATCCCGGGCTCGCACCGGGCACAGCGGAGCCCGGGATCAGCGGGACAATGGCGGGGGGGACAGCGGAGGAGAAGCGCTGGATTAAAATGTTCAGAAGATCTCAACTTAAACGAGATGTCCCTCAAACAAGGGAACGAAGAGTTGATGATACATGAATCAGAAGTCCAATGAGAGCACCAAACAAGACAATATGAAAGTCCTAAAGTGTTTAATAATAAAATGAGTCCACAAACAACAATACAAAACAGCCAACATGTTTCAGGGGCTCAAAGACCTCCCCCTTCACCAATATAGGTGAACGTCTCTCCTACTGGCCACCAGTGGGAGGATTCATTCAATGCCCCATTCACACAGCTGCTGGTGGCTGTACATGTGCCCCTGTCCAAGTGGTGACATGCGTACAGAGAAGGATGAGCAGCCATGGACGCAGATTATTTCCACCCAGGGCAGCTCATCTATCCCCATACACATTTATTAGGCCCCTGTGCAGCCATGTCAATGAGGCCTAAGGGGTATTTCTCCTCTAAACACCAATCTAACGGGTTACTTACCAATGACCAATGTGAGGGGGAATTTCTCTTCTGAACACCAATGTGAGTGGTCACATTACCAATGGCCAAAGTTAAGTGGTATTTCTCTTCTGGACACCAGTCTAGTGGGTCACTTTACCAATGGCCAGCCAGTGTAAGGGCCATTTCTCCTCTGAACACCGATGTAAGCGGTCACTTTAGCAATGGTCACCAATGGCCAAAGTAAGGAGGTATTTCTCCTCTGAACACCAATCTAACAGGTCACTTTACCAATGGCTAATGTGAGGTGGCATTTCTCTTCTGAACACCAATGTGAGGGGTCACATTACCAATGGCCAAAGTTAAGTGGTATTTCTCTTCTGGACACCAGTCAATGGAGTCACTTTACCAATGATCACCAGTGGACAATGTAAGGGGGCATTTCTCCTCTGAACACCGATGTAAGGGGTCACTTTACCAATGGGCACCAATGGCCAATGTAAGAGGGCATTTCTCCTCTGAACACCAAGGTTAAGGATCACTTTACCAATGGGCACCAATGACCAATTTAAGGTGGGGGGGGGGTGTTCATTTTTCCTTTGAACACCAATGTAAGGGGTCATTTTACGGATGGTCACCAATGGCCAAAGTAAAGGGGTATTTCGGTATTTCTTCTCTGAACGCCAATCAAAGGGGTCCCTTTACCAATGGTTACCTATGGCCAGTGTAAGGGGGCATGTCTCCTCTGAACACCAATGTAATGGGCAACAAAGTGAGGATTTCCTTCAGATTGTAAATTAATGTATACTCATTTCCTGTTGAGTCATCAAGACAGGAAGTGAAGGGAAATATCTGTAATGAGAAACATATACAAGAAAAAAAAACACCTGACAACAGTCCCAACTTTATCCAAAACGAAGCAAAAGTCCATACAGCCGTATACATATCCATTCCCCGCCCTTATGCATAAAGCTTTAATAGATTTTAAAAAACAGATACAAGAAATAACCAGAAGCAAAATAAT